CCCCCCAGTTTCTTTTCTCTTTGAAAAGTATAAAAAAAAAACAAAAAACCACTTCTGCTATACAACCCTCCCACCCACCCAATCCCCCAGTCCACTCCGCTATGCAGCTTTCATTCTGAACTCTTGTCATGAAAATAATGCCTAATCATATCTTCCTCCTAAACAATTCTCTCCCTCATCTGTTTCAATGCAGTTTACATTGTGTATCCCCTCGTTTCCCCAACTCTGATGTCAGAACCGCTTTACAACAGTGGCATTATACAGTATTTGTCCTATTGTGACTGACATTTTTCACTCACCATAATATCCTCCAGGGTCACCCATTTTGTATTTCATGAGTTCTTTGTTTTTCAGTGCAGCATAAGATTCCATTCTGTGAATATACCAAAGCTTCTGTAGCCATTCTTTTATTGATGGGAACTTGAGTTTTTTCCAGCTCTATGCTATTGTGAACAAAGCCGCAATAAACATGGGTATGCATTTATCTCCTTGGGTGGCAGTTCTTGTTTCTTTAGGGTATATTCCCAGTAGTGGAATTGCTGGGTCAAATGCTACTTCTGTTTGCAACTTTTTGAGAAAGCGCTATGTAGCCTTCCATAGTGGTTGTACCATTTTATACTCCCACCAACAGAGAATAAGGGTTCTAATTTCTTCACATCGTCACCAGCATTTGACATTTGCTGTTCTGTCAAATTTTGCTATTCTTACTGGGGTGAGATGACATCTCATAGTTTTGATTGTAATCTCTCTTATCGCTGCGGATTTGAACATTTCTCCATGTGTTTGTTCACCATCTGAATGTCTTCTTTGGTGAAGTGTCAATCATATTCTGTGCCCATTTTGCAATTGGGTTATTTACTTTTATCTTGTTGTGGTGCTCGAGTATTTTATAAATTCTAGATCTAGAATGTCAGACATGTCATTACTAAATATTTTTCCCAGTCTGTGGCTTCCCTTTTTTACCCTGTTGGAGAATTTTTGGGATATGCAGAGGGATTTAATTCTTAGAAGGTCCCATTAATCTGTTTTATCCTCTCCTGGTTATAGGTTTTTCAGGATGCTTGGAAAACTGTTTATGTTGTGGATTAGGGGTTCTAGAATTACTCCAGGCTTTTCTCTGATGAAATTTAAAGTCCTTGGTTTTAGTCCTAGGTCCTTGATCCACTTTGAGTTGGTTTTTGTGTTTGGAGTGAGGTGTGGATCTGCTTGAGTTTTCGACACGTAGTTAGTTTTCCAATTTAGCCAACACCATTTGATAAAAAAGGCTGTTGTTTCCCCACTTAACTGATTTGAACTCCTTGTCAAAAATCAGTTGACCATAGGTAGATGGACTGATTTCTGGATTCTCAGTTCTATTCCAGTGATCTGTGTGTCTGTCATTGTACCAGTACCATGCTGTCTTGACCACCATGACAGTGTACTACACTACACCAGTGTAGTAGGATTTGAAATCAGGGAGTGAGATGCCTCCTACCTTGTTTCTCTTTTTAAGGAGTACTTTGCTTATTCGAGGACTCTTTCCATTCCAAATGAAATTGGAAACTGCCTTTTCCATCTCATTGAAGAATGGAGTTGGTATTTGTATTGGGATTGCATTGAACATGTAAATTGCCTTTGGTAGCATTGTCATTTTCACATTATTGAGTCCTCCTATCTGTGAGCAAGGGGTATTCTTCCATTTCCCCAAGTCTCTCTTTGTTTCTTATAGTAATGTCTAGTTATTTTCTTTAAATAGACTCTTTGTTCTTCTGGTTAGATTTACTCCCAAGTATTTAATCTTGTGATTAGCTATTGTGAAGGTATTGTTTTTCTCAGCTCCAGTTCTGTATTCTCTTTGTCACTGTTGAGAAATCCAATTGATTTTTGTATGTTGATCTTGTATGTTGCCACTTTGCTGAATTGGTCAACTATGTCCAGTAGGTTTCTTGCTGAGTCTTTAGGATTTTCTAAGTATACCATATCATTGGCATATAGAGTTAATTTTACTTCTTCTTTGCCAATTTGGATGCCTCTTATTTCCTTCTCTTGTTTTACTGCTATCACTAAGACTTCCAGTACAATATTGAATCGGAGAGGTGATAGTTGGCATCCTTGCCTGGTTCCTGTTCTCGAAGGGAATGCCTTTAATCCATTGTGAACAGTGTTGGCTCTTGGGTTTGCATATATACTTTTTACTATGTTAAAGGAATTCCCCTCTAATCCTATTTTGTTGAATATTTTAATCAGGAAGGGTGTTAGATTTTGTCAAAGGTCTTTTCTGCATAAATTGATAGGATCTTGTGGTTCTTGTTCTTTGCTTTGCTAATGTGATGAATGACACTGATTGTTTTTCTTATGTTGAACCATCCTTGCATACCTATTATGAATCCCACTTGGTCATGGTGAATTATTTTTTTGATGTATCGTTAGATTCTATTGGCCAGGATTTTTTTTCATGATTTTTGCATATATGTTCATGAGAGATACTGGCATATAGTTTTTGATTTTGGTGATGTCTTTACCTTGCTTTGGTATCAAGGATATGTTCGCTTCATAGAATGAGTCTGGGAGAATTCCATCTTTTTCTGTTTTCTGAACTTGTTTATGTAGAACTGGTGACAGTTCTCTAAATGAAAAAATACACTTGTAAAACCATCTGGTCCAGGGCTTTTTTTGGCCGAAAGTTGTTTTATTCCTTTTCAGTTTCTTTTTTTTGTAATGTTCAATTTCGGTTGGTGTCATTTTAGTAGGTTGTGAATTTCTTAGTATTTGTCCATTTCCTCTGGGTTTTCCTATTTGTTTGGGTGTAGTTTTTCATAATATTCCTATGTTAGCCTTTTTATTTTAGTTGATTCTATTGTGATATTACCCATTTCATCTCTTATTCAGATTATTTTAATCTTTTCCTTTGCTAGTTTTACTAGTGGTTTGTCAATTTTATTGACCTTTCAAAGAACCAACTCTTAGTTTTGTTGATGGTTTCAATTATTTTTCTGTTTTTTATTTCATTTATTTCTGTTCTAATTTTTGTAATTTCAGGTTTTTTAAAGGGTGTCAGGCTATATAGCTATTCTTTTTCAATTTGTTGGATATGTTGGGTTAGAGAGTCAGTGGTCATTTTTTCCTGCCTTCTGAGTGTTTGCTTATTGCTATAAATTGACCTCTGATTATTGCTTTGGCTGTTTCCCAGAGGTTTTTGGTAAATAGTGTTTTCACTGTCATTTGTTTCAAGAGACTTTTTAACGTCACTTTTTATTTTTTCTAGTACCCACTGATGTTCAAGAAAGATGTTGTTCAGCTTCCAAATGTATGGTTTTCTCCTTTACCTTCTTGTTATTAATTTCTAATTTTTGTAGCATTGTGGTCTTCGAAGATGCTTTGTATTTTTTCTGTGTTTTAAATTTATTGATGCTTGCCTTGTGACCTAAAATGTGATTTATTCTGGCAAACATTCCATGCACATTGGAGAAGGTATACAGTTCTTTTGGATGCATTAATTTATAAATATCTGAAGTCAAGTTGGTTTAATTCTTGAGCATCTTTGTTTAGTTTCTTTATGGTATTTCTATCTTTTCTTGAGAGTGGTGTGTTGAAGTTTCCACGTAGTATAGTAGTCTTATCTATTTCTTTTTTCAGTTTTGCTAATGTTTGTTTTATGTATTTTGCAGGTCTTTCATTTGGTGCATATATATTTATTATTATGTCCTCTTGATCTATTGACCCTTTAAGCATTATGTTGTGACTTTCCTTATTTTTGTGATGGTTTTTGCATTGAAATTTA